CGAACCTCGTCCGTAGTCCATAGTGTCTGGTGAAGAATGCTGTCTTTTCCTTTGTTATCACCTTGAAATTCCATTAGCTTAGCAACGGTCTTATATCCACTTTTTGTCACTCTCCCTCTTCCTGATCTTATTTCCATAAAATCCAAGTTGAGATATGCTCTTTATGACGCCTATAATTCTCATGAATACCCGTCACTTAGGGAAATCTGAGCCAATTTGCCAAACTTCTCGTTTCAGAACTCATTATCCGTTAGTCTTAAGCTTCTGTGAATCAACTTATTCATTATTCTGATCTTCTGTATGTAGTTGTGGTGAAACTGGAAATTACGAGGTTATTCTCGCATGTGATTTATTTATGAATAATCTCATTTTGAGTGTCCCGTTGGAGCGCAGGAATTGTAGTCGCTCATTCTCCCCTACCTCAATTGTAAATTTGATTCTTCCATTAAGTTTGTTTATAAAGCTGAGTAATTCATCCAACTTTTTCATACCATGCCACCAAAGTGCAAAATAGTTATCCATGTATTGCATAAGCACGCTTGGTTGCAGCGGTGGCTTATCGAATTTATTTGCCAATTCGTCCATGCCAATCTGGCAACTGATTAGCAATCTCTATTATATCATGCTACTTTAACTGCTTATTAACTATTAGCTTCCTTGTTTCATAATAATGGGCAAGGATACAAGAAGTTTACATTTGCATTCTTGCATTTTTGCCTTATTCTTTGATTCTATTGGCACCTAATCATACCTCCGTAGATTCTCTAATTCATTTTGATTATACATTCGATTCCATAAACCAAAAAAATGATATACTCTTGCTTCTCTAGTTAGCTATCGTACCTTCCCTTGACAACTTACTTTTCTAAGCTTCAAACTAGAGATTAAGTTGATTACATTTGTACTTCATTTCTGAAGACCTTGAATGTCAAATCAAGTCACTTTAATCAGCGAAGTTTTTCAAGTTTAAGTTAACCCGATTTTTCATTTTCACTTAGACTTTCTATTAAACCAATCATTATGCATTCGTGTCCTTTGCTTTAGTCTGTCCAACAGATACAGGATGGAGCTCAACAACTGATTCAGGAGATTACGACTGGCAATTTGGGCAGACAAATGACCCAACTGGAAGAGGGTATATCTGCATTACCGACTGGACTCTCCCAAAAAACAGCTTCTTATCTGTCTCTTGCTACAGAAAATGGCCCAGCCATAATACGTCGGCTTCGGCTGCAATTGGTAGATGCTCAATCCGCAATGACTACACGCAGCCTTCAATTGACAAGGCTTCAACAACAAAGGTTGCAGCAACAGGAGGCCCCATGTACTAGCCTTGCGGAAAAAATGGAGTCTTTAGCATTTACCGAAGAGCTGGGTTTGGTGCGACGTAGACTCGATGCTAAACTTTCGGTGGCTGCGGACTCCCTGCCTAAATCAGCTAACGCATTGCAACAGGCGATGGATAGATTAGCACTTATCGAACGTTTGCAGGTATGTTTATTTGTGTTACTTTATATCGTGAATGTAAGGGTCCTAACACAAATTATTTCGTTCTCTTTACTTGGCTAATTTGTAAAAAATGTAAAAATATCTGAAATTGGTGTTTACAAGTTTCCCATTTAAAAAAAAGATAGGCTTCAATTTTTCTCTGCAAAATAGGGAAGATATTTATTTAATAGGATACCATTTATATCAAAACTTTTAGAGCTGAACGATGTATGAAATAAATTGTATATTTGTCTATAGATTAGAACCTATATTTTAAGCTATAGCATAGTTGGTACATTTATGAGAATCCAAGCATCGGAGAGCATTTTATTGTGATTTGAATTTGAAGCCTCTTTGTAGATATTTAAAGAATAATTCCACCTAAATTTTAATCTATTCCTCTTAGACATTTCTAGCTCTATTTTTATTTTGTTGGATAACCCTACAGTAATCTTCCGTCTTTAATTGTATCGAATAATCTATCAACTTTTTTTTATCAATGAAATCAACCTTGTTCTCTGGCCGTCTGCTTAGGCGATTATAATATTGCCATTAACATTTGAATTTGAATTTTAAATTTTATGTAATTCCTAGAAGGTTAACCTTGTTTTGACTTAGTGGCCTAATTTGTTGTTCAATATAATTAATAACCCATATCCTCCTAAGCCAAACATTGATGACTATGGTACAAGGAAGAATTCTCATGAAACCAGAAAGGGATTTGCAACTTTTAGCAATAAATGAAAACCATGGAACATTGCTCCTTACATTTAAACTAAATTATATTAGCATTATAGATGAAACGATTCTCGGGATTCCATAGTATTTAGAAATAGGGACATTTATAATGCGAAAATATCAAATAATCTGAATAAGAAAAATAATATTTCTGCATCTTTTAGAGAATCAAATTTTAGCTCGATTTATTTTATCTATTCGAAAGTATGAAGACCAA